CCTGTGGTTTATACTGTAACTATGCCGAACAAACCTTAGTTACAGTTTCTGAGAAAGAGCGTGTTATCTAGTGTGATCAACAATTTAAACAAGACCAACACGTTGAAGCCCTCGGCCACGATGACTTGTAACTTCGTGCTAGCACAGCTATTGACGACCCCAAGGGTTCCATCTACCCAATTTCACTCACAAGGCTTGGGTCAACCCATGGTATGGTTTTCAGGCACTTTCCAAAGGTGCCGCACGATGGGATAGACCCCCTCCAGTTCGATAACATCAGGAAGTCTTCTTCCTGACGAATCGACCATGGTGAGATTCGAACCCGATTCTTATGGTCAGAATGCGAACGTTTTAATCACTCAGCCACATGTGGTTTATATCATCTATGTGGTCTATATCGGCGAAGACAGCCTGATATAGACCATCTCTCTTGAGCCTGGTTTTAAATTCGAAATTTTCCTTCTTCTAGACTTGTTGCCACCTCAAGTTAAGAGAGCCCAGTATGTCCTGCCACGTAGGGAAACGGATACATGCCTTTTCCAAGGGCAATAGTGCGAAGTGAACAAAACTTGAGCGGGAATTGAACTCGTCACACCAAATACACATTCTACACCGGTAACCGTTGCACCATCCGCACCTGCATTATACAAAAAAAAAAAAAAAAAAAAAATTAAGTGTAATAAATCTGTCTGGAAACTATGCAGCCATTTAATGTTAACGAAAAAAAAAGTATAAAAAGTATTCATCTTAACATCGCACACGTATATATCAGCGTCCCTTTCACTTTTCATATACGTCTGCAAATCTTGCCTTCGGGATCGGCAGACTTTGGGTGATGCGATATTTTGTCAAACCACCCTGCATCAGAAGCTACTCGATTCATTATCCGCCACGTGACCTTTGCACCAATCGATTATTACCTTTTTCGATTCTCTAACGAAAATCACATTTAAGAGTTCATAAGAAATTTGCAGAGTTTTACTCAAAAGTTATCAAAGAGCGGCCTGATACACGACAGGCAAAAACTTCGCGGCAGCCCTGCATTTCTTAAAACAAAAAAACAACCTTAAAATGAGATACTTTGAAAATATTTTAAGTAAAAGATAAAATTTCATTAACTACCGTCTATTGGCTTTTATTTTGATAAAAAATAAGCACTTAAAATAAATTATCATACAACAGCATCATATTTTGTTTTCGTCAATAAAACCACCAAATGCCTTAATTAATGGTTTACAAATTTTTGGTATTCTTTTCAACAGCTTTTGAAAAAAAGAAAAAAGAAAAGTAGATGGCAGACCTTTCGAAACATTCTTCAGGCACTGAAAATGTTCACTCTCACTCTTTTGGTATTCTCTTTGAATTTGAATTTTTTTTTGCCATAAGAGGAGCCTGAAGAATGGCTGAAAATGCCTGAAGAATGGCTGAAAATGCCTGAAGAATGGCTGAAAAATAAAAGCAAATATATTGTTGTTTATCTTTATCTTTTACTTTAAAATAATCCAAAAGTTTCTCATTTTAAGGTGTTTCTTTTTAAGAAATGCAGACTGGCTCCAAACGTTTTGGTTTTAGTGTAAAGTGGCAACAAGTCACCGTTATGGTGAATATATAATTGAATAAAATTTAATTGTACTTTCTTTTTGAAAATCCGGAAATTATTTATGGCGCAGCCTAATATCTAAAATTGCGATGAAATTGAAGAATTTTTTTAATTATTTTTTGTTTCAGATAAAGAGTTTATACGACCATTTTGTTAAATAAAGGAAGAGTGGATACTTTGAGATTCTTCCCACAAATTAGTGAAGATGGAAACACCAAAGTCGAGAAAGACAAAGTTTCAGTGTCCTTTCGAAAGGGCTTCACCTCGAATGGAAGACGTAGCCTTGCAGCAAATTAAGGCCAAACAGTGTGTTGTTTGGCTGAAAGATAAGTTAACTACTGAAAGTGTGAAGCACAGCACAAGGCCAAAAGCTTACAGAGTCGATAGCAGCCGTGGCCAGAGATCGAATCTGACTGGAGATAGTCGTGGGAACAACTTTAAAACAAAAAGAGACATTATAGACTGCGGCCATCATGAAAACGACAAGACTATTGGTACGAAACTTATGGAAGGCCTTATTGTTGATGGATGCGGAGTTAAATTTTACAATAAAAAATCAAGTCCAATTTCTTACAAACGAATCTGGACAACTCCAGTCAATCGGAAAGGGAATATCGGTGGTGGCCATCAGGGGCCACCAATTAGCTCTTCCCTCTTCGCAGTGACTTGTTTTCTGAAGTTACGACAGACGACAGCTGCACAAAAGGCAAACGAAAGAATATCAAGAAACGAGGCATTGGACCAGAACCACCATCGACGGATGACAAATATTAGGCCGTTGAACAACAAGACTTCAACAGAAAAAACATGTCAGAAGAAAAGTGAGAAAACAGAAAATGATCTTGGTGAGGGTATCAAGCAGAGTTTGCAGATCCCCGAAATGAAAAAAAGACAAAGAGTAAGTAGAAAATCAATTTCACATTTCAAGATTTTATTTTTTAAAGAATCAAAATACTCATATATTCTTTTATCTATCTTCAAATGCAAACATGAAAACAAATTGCTTCTGCGCTACCTAAAACACATCATAACCAACAAAACGAAATTAAAATCCTAAAATCTAATGTGTGTGTGTTTGCGTGTATGTGTTTATATAAGAGGTTATAGTAGTTCCAATGAGAGAAAAGTGGGTATAATAAAAAGAGAGAAACCGCAAACGTTTTTGGTTGTAATGTGGATTTAAAAAAAATATATTAAGCTTTATTTTCCATAAAAAGTTTGTGGTTTCTCTCTTCTTTTTTTATATATATATATATATATATATATATATATATATATATATATATATATATATACGTATTATATTAGGCAGCATATATTTTATATTATAAAGAGGTAATCATACAATGATTCAATTATCAATATTAATGTAATTAATGGCGAATTCTCTTCGCTAACAGACTTAATAAAGCATTAACTTAATAACAATCCACTGAATGACGCGATCCTTTTGTATAAAATTGTTGTCAGATGCAGCTGGTGCATTTTTAGAGCAGCAAGTACTTTCGATAACTTTATGTTCTCATCGTCAGATTGTATTTTTTTCATTTAGAAATACAATACATTTATTTCGTATTGGAGTTTTATTTATAACTGAAAAAAACAACAATTTTATACAGAAGGATCGCGTCAGTCAATGGATTGTTAGTAAGTTAATGTACATGAGCATAAAAGTTCATTATTATTTCATATACGTATACTATCTGTCGATATATCTATCTCTATATCAATCTTTTTAGATGTATATCTATCTCTATATCTATCTAATCATTTATCTCTACGTTTCTATCTTTATCGTAAAAAAAATGAAGATTAAATAGATATAAGCTTAGATAGATGAGATAGATATCAATTCAAATTGAATGTTGATGGGATAGATGATAGATAGATAGATAGATAGATAGATAGATAGATAGATAGATAGATAGATACAAAACAATGGTTATATAGATAGATATACATTGGCCAAGATAATGTTGTGCCCATAAAACATATATCGATAAAAATTATTTATAGGGTCAAAAAATAATTATAATAAAATAATTGTAAAAATTCTAATTATCATTAATTCATTCATTCTAAACCAATGAGAATCGACCCCACTTTTCTCCTCTACACACACAAGTATGTGACATTCTCACTATTGGACAAGCAATATACACGGACAGGTCGTTAACACTTGTGTCAACGAAAATTTAATCTCCTTTTTCTTTTCAGGTCATAATAGTATACATTTATCTTTCAGCAATCAACAAAAAATCGAGGTAAGAAAATCCCAGACACTTATTGTATTTCCTAACTAAATTATCTGGACACTCATAACAAACATCTAAAAAAAACACATACGAGAAAGACTATATAGCAATGATTCCCAACGTAGGGCGAATGCCCCACCGGTGGAGCATGGTAATATTTTGGTGGGGCATGCATAGAATGTGCACCCTTAGGCTTACTATACCAACAGAATAAGGGGGCAACTCGAGAATGAGTTAACAGTGAATTGTTTTCTAGTGAGTTTGAATGAGAGTGTTAATGTTAATGTGTGTTAATACATACGATACATATACAGTATGCAGACATAAAAATTCAACCACCGTTGCAAGAAATTTATTGTTACCATTTCCATCTTCATATTTAGCTGAACCTGGCTTTCGTGTTGTAAATGATTTGTTATTGAAGAAAAGAAATCAACTTGATATCACTAAACGAGGAAACTTGAGACTTAAGCTGATTAAATGGGTGCCTATTATAAAATCTATCTGTAGCAGACATGACGCACAAGGATCTCACTATCAGCCATTTTGCGATGAGCTCAAATTTCATTTTGCATTATTATTTAATGATTAAAATGATCAAAGTATATTACAGAATAAGTTTTCATTTAAATATTTTATATTTCTGCCTTTTAGTTTTCTATTATATGTTTTAAAACTATATATATATATATATTTAACTATCTTTTAGTTTTTTAAATTTTTATCTTTCATGGACGCCATGGTCTTTGGAGGTTTGTTTAGAGACCAAGTTAATGGCCTTTTAAGCTTCCTTCACGTGAATTACAGTAAAATTTTGAATATGTAAGACTTAAATATTAGGGTGTGGGCACCAGAATTTTGGAAATACTAAAGTGGGGCATGGCCCCAAATCGGTTGGGAACCGCTACTGTAGTATACACTTTGTTTATCTTATCATTCCGTCGGATTTGATCTACACTTGACCCCAAATTCTCCATTTTACTCACTATTACTGTCTCTCGTGTCTACAACACCACATAACGACGAGATAATAAATAATTCTCGTTTTGTTGTTTCCACGTTTTGCTGTTTCTTATTTTTACGAGTATTTTTGCATATATAAATGTTAGGGATTTTTTAATTATTTATTCAGAGTTATAAATCCTCTACGATAGATAGATAGATAGATAAGAATAGACTGAAAGAGAGAGATAGAGGTAGATAGATAAGAATAGACTGAAAGAGAGAGATAGATAGATAGATAGATAGATAGATAGATAGATAAGAATAGACTGAAAGAGAGAGATAGAGGTAGATAGATAAGAATAGACTGAAAGAGAGAGAGAGATAGATAGATAGATAAGAATAGACTGAAAGAGAGAGATAGAGGTAGATAGATAAGAATAGACTGAAAGAGAGAGAGAGAGAGAGATAGATAGATAGATAGATAGATAGATAAGAATAGACTGAAAGAGAGAGATAGAGGTAGATAGATAAATAGATAGATAAGAATAGACTGAAAAAGAGAGATAGAGGTAGATAGATAGATAGATAGATAGATAAGAATAGACTGAAAGAGAGAGATAGAGATAGATAGATAGATAGATAGATAAGAAAAGACTGAAAGAGAGAGATAGATAGATAGATAGATAGATAGATAAGAATAGACTGAAAGAGAGAGATAGAGATAGATAGATAGATAAGAATAGACTGAGAGATAGAGATAGATAGATAGATAGATAAGAATAGACTGAAAGATAGAGATAGATAGATAGAAATGAATAGACTGAGATAGATAGATAGATAGATAGATAGATAGAAAAGAAAAGACTGATATATATATATATATATATATATATATATATATATAGTGCTGTTCGATAAAAGTGACTCACCTGATTGATTTTTTTTACTAAAATATTTTTTGTCTATTGTTTTTGGGATTAAAATAATTTTTAATCTTACTAATATAAAGCCCCCTTCCCGACCACCTAGGCAAAAAGTTTATTCACCCTAAGGTATTCTACTGATAATTATAAATTTAGATATAAATGAGATTCAGGAAAAAACTCTGTGCAAAAAAAGTGAGTCAGATATCGCTTTCTACTGATTAAACTGGTAAATTTAAAGCGCTTTTGACAAAATACTTAAAACTATTTTACTATACACTCAGAACAATATTCTAGAGAATTCTAGAACAGCTTAAATTAAATTCCAGAAAGCCTCATACAGTATAAAAACAGCTTGAAATAGACACTCAGAACCACTTAAGGCATCTATTATAGCCCTCTCAAGAACAGGCAAGTCTACGAGAGAAATTGCTATAACCTCGCAATCAACTGTCTTTCGAGTGCTTAGGGCACATAATGATGCCACTCTTACTCCAAGGAAGGAAACAAGGGGACAAAAGAAAAAGATTGATGATAGAACTGGCAGGGTAATCAAGAGGGAAGTTGCGAAGAATAGGACTATAACTAGCCAAGAAATTGCAGCCAGTCTAAGCGAAGAGCAAGGCGTTAGTCTTGCCTCTTCAGCAGTCCGTCGGTGGCTGTTAGAACAAGGCTAAAAATCTTGTACACGAAGGTTTAAGCTGCTAATAAGCAAAACCAACAAAGCCAAGAGACTTGAATGGGCTCACTATTACAAAAATTCCATCGTAGAAGACTGGAAGAATGTTCTTCTCCGAAAACGAAAGTTGAGCTAAATTGAAAGGATAAACGATCTAAAATCCAAAGAAGAAGCTTTGAAAGCTCTTTGAATTTAGCAGTATAATGTTCTGGGGGATACTTTTCTTTTTATGGAACTGGTTTCTTAAAACCTATTGAAAAAGACCCTCAGGAGCGAGCAGTACAAGAGAATTTTAGAGTCTTGTCTGCTCCCTTCTGCTGAAAGGGTGCAAATCGACCCCACCAAGCTCATTTTTATGCACGATAATGCTCCCTGTCACAAATCAAAATTGATGAAGGAATACTTTGATGAGAAGCAGGTGAATATTATGACATGGCTGCCCCAATCTCCTGACCTCAACCCCATAGAAAACTTATGGAGCATTATAAAATACAGGCTCTCGAGAAAGCAGTTGAGCAACAAAAAAGATTTGATTGTGAATTTCATATCCGAATGGAATTCAATGCTTGGAGATGAGATTTGCCAGAACCTAATCAAGTCAATGCCAAAAAGGGTTGAAAAGGTTATTCAAAATAAAGGAGAACCCATAGATTATTAAATATCTCGAACTATATTACCTATTATAAATAGATTATACCTCTATTATTCTTTATTTAATGCTGTTCAGTTATGTTTCTATTGATTACTAGTTGCAGGAAATAAGTGAGTCACTTTTTTACACAGAGTTTTTCCCTAAATTTCATTTATATCCAAAATTATAATTATCAATAGAATACCTTAGGGTGAGTAAACCTTTTACTAGGTAGTCGGGAAAAGGTCTTTATATTAGTAAGATTAAAAATTAGTTTGACCCCAAAAACAATAGGCGAAAAAATTTTAAGTAAAAAAATCAGGTGAGTCACTTTTATCGAACAGCACTGTAGGTAGCAATCCTTCGTTTATGCATGTTTCATTAAAAACGACAGACAAGGTACTACGGTTAAGTTTTTTTATTTAATTTTTCTTGTGTTCGAACAAGAGCTTTCTTTTCTGGACAAAGAGTGTGTAAGAACTGTTGAAATGTTTTATAGTTCCGAGCGCTTTCGGCTATATATATATATATATATATATATATAGGTAGGAAGGTAGGTAGATAATAGACTGAGATAGATAGATTGAGATAGAAAAGTGTATGAAATAGATAAAAAGATAGACAGATAGATAGAAAGAAGAAGATAGATAGATAGATAGATAGATAGATAGAAAATAGACTGAGATAGATAGATAGATAGATAGATAGATAGATAGATAGATAGATAGATAGATAGAAAGAAAAATAGGCTGAGATAGATAGATAGAAAGAAAGAAAGAAAGAAAATAGGCTGAGATAGATAGATAGATAGAGAGAGAGAGAGAGAGAGAGAGAGAGATAAAAACTAAGATATTTGATTGTAGTATAAACGGAGATAGATAAATTCCTGTTCAACTGAGATCAATAAAGTTTGTTTCCTCCTCGATTGAAGCCTGAGCTGAGAGAAAACTGTATAATTGAAGTCAATTGGATATTTCCATGACGAACAGAGAAGGAAATGTGAACCGCTGTTCCATGTAAACCTGACCACTTCGGACAAAATAAACGTTTCGGTTACACTTGAATGGAAGGCTTTGTTTGTTTAAGTTATTTGTTTCCATGGCAACCATCTTAAATGACTAATTGATTGGACGAACCTTTGCTTTTGATTCTCTAATTACCTGGTGAAGTGGAGAAAGGCGACACGAAATTGTAGAGTTAGGAAAGGTGCAAACGGTTAATTTAGGTATAAATTCAGTTGGAATGATCAGATGTTCTTTTAGATTTCTGTAAATAGATTTGACCCACGGCTCCCCACTATATTTATAATATATATATATATATATATATATATATATATATATATATATATTATTTCTGTGGTTTACTGCTACCAGCAAGTAAGAAATATTTCTTCTCCCGATGATGGCCATTTTGACCGAAACTAGTCGAGGAATCTAAATGAAATAATAATAAAAAAAAACAAAAAAACGAAAGAATATTAATCTACAACCTGTCTGAAGATTTTAATTTTTTAATATTTTTTTTTATTCAATACACAACAAACTCTATATATATATATATATATATATATATATAATAAATATATATATTTTAAGGCATATATAATAAAAATATAGTTTTAAGGCATGCTATACTTAGGGGTAAAAGTGCTCATTATCTGGGATAAGTGAACATTGAGGTGACCAGTTGTTTTTGTGTTTTACCACTTAAACCTACCATGGACATAGAAATAATTCGACTGCTCCCTAAAAAACATACCTATCCCACCGTCATCCACCAATAAACGAAATTGAATAGAAAAAATATAAAGCTTCATAAAAAGGATGATATGGAAAGCTCATTTCTTTTTTCTTTTTTTTTTTTTTTTTTTTTGACCAAGAGCTTAAAACAAATGCCACACTCAAGGAAAAATACAGTTTTAAAATGAAAAAATCTCCCCTGCAACGCAAAGAACTAGAGAGACAAAAAGACTTGATTAACTTTGTAAGAAACATGAAAAATTTCATAAATAATTCAATGCTCTCCAGAAAAATAATCTAAAAGGAGATACAGCTAAAATAAACAACTCACCTCTAACGTATTTATCGCTGCGGACAAAACTAGAAGCAAGAACTTTTTTTTTTTTTTTTTTTTTGAGGCTTTCGAGCATGGGCAAAATAAATTCATGGATTTGGACAAAAATAAAAAAAACCTCAGAATGACATCAAAATCCTCAAATATTGTTCATCCTTTAAAAATCAGTTATTCTTAGTTTGATTTGTAACATAAATATAGGTAGAAAGAAAAATAAAAATGTTGATGAGATAGCGAGCGTCACAAAGTACAGCTCGGGTCCCCCAAACAAGTTTGGGCCCTACCCTATCCACCGGCCCTGAACCCAACTAAAAGCGAACTAGGTAAAATAAGTGAAAATAATACGAGAAAGTATTAACTCAAAACTATGAATGAAGTTAATAGTAAATCAGTGGAAAAACACAAAAACAACGATTGGCTTGTTACCTCAATGTCACACACACACACACACACACATATATATATATATATATAGTCAAACGGTTTGACTAGGTCTGCTCTACTTTTGTATTGAGCACTTTTTTAGTTAGTTGATTACTCGTATCGGGTTTTTTTTCTTTGATCTTTGGACCTGTATGCTGTACGATTATTTTCGACAGACGTTCATGTTCCTAGTTCTTACTTTTTTTAAAACCGTTTTCCTTCTGAAATTGATTTGACCATTAGCAAATCAAGAAACCGAAGGTTTTCGAGACAGTGTAGTTACCTATATATATATATATATATATATATATATATATATATATATATATATATATATATATAGGTAAAAACCCGTGAGTAAATAATCCAAGTGAATCCTAATAATATAAAATATTAAAACTGATCCACAAAGAGAGCTCGATGTATTTATTATAACAGAGCATATATAAATAAATTACATATAAGAAA